TCAGAAGACCAACTGAGCTATCCGGCCTGCTACACATTTTCTCTTTAATAATGAAACAGTTCTAAACCACAACATATTTCCCCACTATATCGATTTGTGTTCGTGAATTTCTTATGTTACAGAGCATAGGAAATTGAACTCATGCTTATATGCAGTCACAGGATGAGAAAAACTTTGAGCTTGACCAGAACTCAAACCTGTGACCAACATAAGAAATTTTATGAAGGCTGATTTGTATTTTGCATCAAGGGCACCGGGCAAAAACATGAAAATGCAACAAACAAACCACTTTGTTACTTTTTGTACTATGTTGGTTTTCATGTGGCACAAATCACCCACTATAAATTTAGTGCACAAATTTATTCAAGGGCAAGTAACAATCTACTCTATGTACAGTCTGTTGTCGGGTTGACTCAGGAGACCTGGAGGTTGAGACCGGTGTCCCTTCATTACAAATAGATAAGACAGAAGCTGTCCTTTTCAAACTATGCACATGTTAGAAAAAAAATAGAATAACTATTCAGAATATGATTTTTTGAGACTTTATTAATTATATTGCTTGATCCAAGTTTAAGGACATTTTCAATCAATACATGTTTTATCATTTATAACTTTAAATGAAAGTCTCATCCCTTTAATAATAATGACATAACTGTATCTCTTTAAATGCAGAAAAATTATAAGTCTCAACATATCAATATAGATCTACTACTGTCTAAGATATACATGTATGCACATAACATTAATAATTCCCAGTTTATATTAAATAAATATGAAATCCTAACATTAACATTAACATGCTTTTGATGACCTTACAACTGGTGAATTATATACAACAAAAATAGTATTATAAGTAATACCTAAGATAGACAGAAAAGAACAAATAATTTAGTAAACATGAGTTACTTCCCCTTACAATAAAGAAAACCTGAAACCCAAAAGAACACCCTAAACAGCAAAATTATGAAATGCTGCAGGTTCAGTTTTATCAAACCATGCAAATTAATGGTAAAGTATTCATAAAAAAATAGATGGCCATGTGTCAGCAGTAATTGCAGAAAATCGGATAGCTTTCAACATCCGGATACTGGTACACTTTGTAAAAACAACCATTCTGCGCAACAGATAAATGTAATAAGGATAAAATCAATAGGATAATCGTTTACAACAGTTCCATTACCTATCCTTATACTCAATTGCAGGTGAACTTTCTTCTTGTAGGAAAATTTTGAAAATGTATAAATGAATGAATGAACTGATACGGCCTCAATCTAGACCACAACGATATTCGAAATCCGGGTTTTAGTATTGTCATTAAAACTAAGGGACAAGCTGTTAAACTTAACCTGCAATTTCGTGAAAATAATATCACAATGCACATGCTTTTTACATAAAGTTATTAAATACAAATATAACAACACATTTGTTTACTTGATTTTTACGAATCAAAATAAAACTAATTAACACAACATGAAATTAACTGCTAATAATAACAGCTCCTTCCATAGGCAAAAATAAAAAGCGTTCCATAATAGACGACGCCGCTCACCGGCGTCGCCAACAAGTACGCGATCAAGTTTACGCTTTCACCATAGACAGACGTATCTCTTTTGGATACTTAAAACCTAAGCAAAAACATTTGCTCACTACAAACGAGAAACCATCAAGCAGATCGCCTAATCCAGTTGGTGAATTTTCACGGTTCTCAAACCTGGGACATAAGATATCTTATGTCCCAGCTCAAACCAAGCCTTGAAGACGAGCACGCGACAACCTATATGCCAGCAGTAGCAGACGATCAAAATAATTGCAGACGACAAGCAAACAACGGGATATAAAAGAATCATTGACGGATCCTTTTGGAATAGTGTTTGCTTACTGTATCAGCGAGATTCATTCTAGTTCTTTTTTAAATTTCTAAAATAAAATTCATTCACGGAGCTAGACTATCTTCAAACACAGATATAATATAGTATTTAATTTAGTATTTAATACTAATTAACTAACTTTAATATGTTGTATACAGACAATAAAAGTATTACATAACTCATTTTAGATACAATTTATGTGTTTTTTATTACGTACGGCGACATTGTATTTTCCCTCCGACATGTACATGTACTATTCCTTTTTTTACAGGTATGACATCTCTCAAGTCAAGTCAAGTCAAGTAAATTTTATTTATAAGTCGGATACATCAACAATAAACATAAGCTCTGATGAGCTTTTTACACCGACTACAATAATATAAAACACATGTTTAAGATATGATAAATGACGAAAATGGTTATGATAAGATAAGGCAAATAGCATTGCGTTAACAAATAGAGTAGACAAACAGCACTGTACTAGCATTCATCAGTAGCATACAAAAGTAAGAGGTAATACATATTAGATCTAATAAAAAAATCCATTAATATACATATTAAAGGTTAAGATCACACATCACAGCTTATATAAAACACACAAACATTTAAGCAGAGAAACATCAGGCATACGTACACACAATAAAATGCATAGACAAACCAACTTATAAAAAGAGCAAATTATATATAAATAAATAAAACATGGTTAGGACTAAGCAATAGAATGACAAGGTTAAAATATGCATAATGAACATCAATCCTGACATTAACATACACACAAACATTCAAGTTATACATGTATATAAAAGATGATACATAGCACATAAAAAATAGAAATAAATCTATTACAATAAAAGCACACAAAAGCATAGCACATAAAAAAAAGACTCTAGCAGACGTTTTTCATAGCTTATTGTAATAGTTTTTATTTGTTTGGGTCGTCAGACCAAACAATTAATGGTAGCGAAATTTCAGAGTCTGATGCTGTTAATTGCAAATGCCGAAAGTTGGCCGCTTTTTTGAAGCGGTTACTTCCCTTTATATGTACACTAACGCCGAAAAAATCAGGGGAGATCACTGCGTACAGATGGTCAAATGACAGGCGCATTAATTTTCAAGCAAAATAATTCCCGAATGGTCGAAGATTTCAAATATTGTTTTATCCTTTATAGATATACATGCTTATAATAAACTCCATGGTTATTAACATCTGTGTTAAACAACAGTTAGCGTCGAAATAATAAGGGTTACAAACCCTAATTTAGAATAATGTGGTTTTCTTCAGGCCTTTTACATATAACTTCACCGTGGCCGAAGGGTCTGGAGACCAAATTCAGGAAGGCAACTCTTTTTTTTTCAAATTGTTTAAGTCAAATGAACATTGAATTGAATGTCAGTGTTGCAATTAGTCTTAAAGCCAATTAACTACAATTAAAACGCTGGAAAGCACTGGTGGCACTATACAAAAACAAATTGGTTTATAATCTCACAACCTTCACCTTTCTGACATTCTGAGACCCAAACAAACTCAGCGCCTTCTGTGCTTTGATTTTAACCTTTTAACCATATTATTCACTATATTCAATATCAAATAGTTAACTTTTCAATACTGTATTGTCATTTCTGATAGAAAATAAGACAGGGAAAATCTTTCTTTCCCAATTGATGTACCTTTTCTTATTTGAATTTCAGGAATCTATCTTATCAGTCTTCCACAAGCACTAGACACACTCAATTTTACCTAAATAAGCTTATAATATTAGTTATAAATATTTTTGACAGGTTATATATTATGGCCCTATATAAACGGCTGTTTTGAAATATAACCCAAGCCACTATATATATAGGTTAGGGTTATATTGCAAACAACCATTTATATAAAGTCATATAACCTGCCAGGAATTATTTATTGCACGGCCGTGCATATATTTTGAAGTGACGTCATTAGCGTTATAAAAATATATTATAATACTGCACGTTTGTAACGTCATTTTTCATTGGATAATCGTGACGTTTATACAGTTTTATATACACGGCTGCTGTCGATTCCTAAAGAAATCTTACTTTTTTTCGCTAAAAATGATGCTTGCTGTATTATAAATTCGTTATAAAGATTGTCGACAGGTTATATGTTTGCATAACGGCTCGGGTTATATTTACAAATAGCCGTTTATATAGGGCCATATAACCTGTCAACGATCTTTATAACTAATAGTGTAAAGACGCGCTAAATGTTAGCGTTAAACTATAGGCGCGTCATGAAAATTGACTCTTATTTCACTTTAACCGGTCATTATTTGGGGTATGTGATAAATAGAATATTAAATTAGTGTAAGTTCATTACTGAATTTATTGCACTCGTTGAATAAAATAATATTATGATCGCCAGAGGCTCGCATAATATAATCATATTCAACTCGTGCAATAAATTCAGTATTGAACTTACACTCATTCAATATCCTCTATATATAATACGTACAGCAAACTTCCTTTTTTGGAGAAAAATGTGAGATTTCTTAGAAAATAAAAATTTACAGCAGCCTTGTATATAAAACTATATAAACGTCTCGATTGTCCAATGAAGTGACGTTACAAACGTGCAGTATTATAATACTTATAATATATATTCTTTTATAACATAAATATATGTGCCGGTGTAACGTTGTAAAGTGACCCCCATAGAATAATGACCCCCCGGTCATTATTTTATATAAAATAATGACCGGGGGGTCATTATTCTATGGGGGTCACTTTACAAAGTTACACCGGCCTCATTTGCATATCATTATATTTTCATTATCCTGAAGATATTGTGAAATCGGTAGAGGTTTTTATAAATTACATAAATTAAGAATTGGTTTGTTTATTTAAATGTTACAGTTTTAATTTTTCGTATATTTTATTATAAGCGTATAGATCTATACTGTAGGTTACAAATTGATTGTGTCTAGTGGCTGTGTTGTCTTCCAATAATGTCAAACCCTTTCTCATTATTTTTATGTCAAAAATGTGTCTAAGTCATCTAAGTCATGAATATGGAGAGAAGACGGTGAAAAATGGTAAACCAATTAAAATTTGGTTAAATATTGTAAAGAATGAGAGTTTCTGTGAACGAATATTTTATAATTACGAGTTTATTTGTGCACGAAACATTTATTTTTGAAAAATACTCTCCTAATAGGAGACGGCTTGGTTAGCAGCCGCGATTTCTAAAGTTAAAGTTGATGGTTATTTTATAAAAGTGACGTATATTGTCATGATTACACACAGTTTCACTTAGTAAAATAGGTAAATTTTCTAACATTAGTCCTTACTGAAAAAAGCACGGCTCCAAACCATAATGTTTTCTTGTTTATTGAATTTGATATGGCAAGTTTGCACAAGTCCTGTCAGTGTGTGTCAATTTTACAAAATAAATACCGCTTATTTTTGTTTCATTTCATTTGCCTCAATATTCCAACTTTTTAGAACTTAATGAAAAATACTGCAGTTTACATTGTTTAAGAGGTGAAGGAGGGTTTTAGAGCGGGTATAAAGGAGGGGGGAGGTAGTGGCAAAATGAGTGGCCAATCAATGCATCGAACACCTGTGGTAGTTAAAGACATCAAACTGTTCATACCTAATTAAAACACCCATTGACAGTCTCTATATGGATTACTTAAATAACCGAGGTATATCGGGTGAAATAATACGAGTTGTTTCAGTTATCTTTGAGTAAAATCAATATCTCTAATGCTAAAACAGTAACGATTAAGCCGTTTTAAACTGCCAGTTTGGGGCGATTTGATGTCCGATTTTAAAATCTGTTACACTAATAAAAAGCTTGTAATCTTAGCTTTGTCTCAGTATATATTTCAACACATCGTTTGACACTAAAGGTATTTAAATGTACGGTTAAACATACCACAAGTCAGACCATTTTACGATTTGTACAGTGAGATATGCAACCGGTTATCTTACTTGCAATTCTACTGATAAGAATAGCCTTTTGTCCGCCAGTTTGGAAATTGTCAAATGGTGTTTTAGGCTAAAGGCTTGCCAGTTCTTCCCCTGACATTTTTTCTCGAACTGTTTCCCATCCACTGGTAAAGTGCATTAGTCCTTTCATTTATAATAATGATTATAAACTTCCATTTTGTGACATCACCTTATTTAAGGGAATCAGGATCAGCTACTCCTGGCCCTAATTTATTTGGCCCTTTGCCATTTCAAGCCCTATACAAACACAGCACAGAACATGGCCCATATCTATATTACTGATAATATAAAAAAATACCTTAATAGGGATATTATGAAACTACATGTATCCAGCTGGATTTTCAATGCACTTTGGAATATATTCAGAGTTAATCACTTAATTCTTAGTCCAAAACCACTTACATTTTTTAGACTTTAAATATTCATCCTTGTAAATCATGTGTTTTCCAGGTGCTATGAATTTCTCGGAGCTGTTTAGACAGTCAAACCAGATATGCAAATTTTCCCCAGATGGGAAATATTTGGCGTCTGTTGTAGAGTTCAGACTTGTGATAAGAGATGTTGATTCATTTCAGGTATGTCTAATTTAGTTAAAAAGTTCATAGTTTACGTATCAACAAATTTGAATTATTTTCAACTGTACTAGCTTGAAGCTGTCAAGCTTGGAGCTATCACCCATAAAGACAATATTGGCGTATCTTTAGTGCATTTTTTGTGCATTGTAGTATAATAATGCATGATTTATTATTCAAATACTTTGTAATTTATCACTCAGGCCTATCGGCCTTCATGATTGTATTCCTGTACATTTTAATTTGAACCATGCATGTATTTTACTGACAAAAAAAACAGATATGAAAGTGAATTATAGTAAAATAATTGAAATAATACTCATTATATTGTCAATATGCTTTATCTGAATCTTGAAAACAAAAAACTTTCATACACAGTTACAATACTTTAGCACTACAGTTATTAAGTCACATCATGACCTTATCAATGTCAGTGTTTTATAGTCCAACCTAAATATGTTTGTTTTGTCCATTTTAAAGTCTCAGTTTGTTGAATTTATTATACATCCTCTGAGAATTATCACTGAAATAAAGCATATTTGCAAAAAAGATCTACCACTTAAAGTTAGACTGTTTCTTTATAAAACAGTAACAAGTGTAGAAGATACTGATATATCAGATGGTATTGTTATGTTTTCTCCACAGATTCAGAATTTGTTTACATGTATGGATACCATACAACATGTAGAATGGTCTGGTGACTCTCAGTTTATCCTTTGTGGACTGTACAAGCGTGGACTGGTTCAGGTCTGGTCACTGGAACAACCTGACTGGAAATGTAAGATAGACGAGGGTTCAGCAGGACTCTGTGCTGTAAGGTATGACATAAGATTTTTTTTTATTTAACTTTAAATATTTGATCTGCATAATTTAAACATAGATGTATGGCATCTTATTATCAAAGCAGTCTTGATCGTTTGTTTCAAATATTGTACTTTTAAAGGTTTTTATACTTGTCTTTCAAGAACATTTTCCATGTTGACCATACAAAATAATCCTCATTACTTTGATTAGTACTACAGTAATTGATTGTTTAAAGACTAAACATATTCCTAAATGTACTAGATTGACAGTATTAACACAAACTATGGCTTGATGTAGATATGATATGTATAGGTAAGAAAATGATATAAAACATAATATTTCTCATTTACAGATGGAGTCCTGACAGTCGGCATATTCTGACCACTGCAGATTTCCACCTCCGTATCACAGTATGGTCACTTGTTACAAAATCTGTTTCATACATCAGATATCCTAAACAGTGTCAGCAAAATATTAGTTTCTCAGGGGACGGCAGGTATGATAAATTCATTTGTGCTGTTTGTTTTAATAACGTCAGATTTTTTTTTTTAACTTAATACATGTCGCTAGTTTGTAGAATTCCCATCCTCAAAAATATTTATTTTCTTTTTAGTCATGTAACAATCCAGCCAGAAAGTTGGTGTCCTTTGAAATATATTCAGAGTTTATCACATAATGTTGCTTGTTTCCAGTGTAATAAGACCATTATACATGTATATATGTTTTTACATTATATACATTTAATTTTAAGGAAAAACATACGGATGGTATCATGTAAATTAAAGTAATTGAGTGTCATAATATAAAAAACAATGAATTTGCCTTATAGTATCTTGATAAGAAGAATTTTAAACTTGTTGTCATGACTCATAATGCATAAATATGTCCCAATGGCAAATTCATAACCATTGCCGTATAATTCTACACAACTGCTCTTAAACAGAAGGCATGTTGTTAAACAATTGTATTTGTATGTTTTGAAGGTATATGGCCCTAGCAGAGAGACGAGACTGCCAAGATTTTATCAGCATCTTTGACTGTAGTTCGTGGGAGTTGTTGAAGCATTTTGAGAGCAGTACAGATGATCTAGCAGGATTACAGTGGTCTCCAGATAGCACAGTACTCTGTGTATGGGACACACCTCTCAATTATCTAGTGCTTCTCTACTCTGTGGACGGGCGCTGTCTCGCAAAGTACAGTGCTTATGAATATGCTCTTGGTTTGAAAACACTAGCATGGTCTCCAACAAGCCAGTTTCTAGCTATCGGCAGTTATGATGGCAAATTAAGACTTCTTAATCATGTTACATGGAAGACTATCACATCTTTTTCTCATCCTGAAACTTTGAATGAGAACTCGGCTGTAGTCTATAAAGAAATAGAAACACGTACACCTCAGCCTGTAAAGAGTGACCTTACAGACATTCCAACTACCGCCTTGTTTTCTCCACAGAGTAAATATGAAGTTCAAACATGTCCGGTAAGTATACCCATTGTAAAGCCTGACACAAACAAAGCTAATCCAAAAAGAGGTGTAGGAATAGCGGCCTTTAGCAATGACTGTAAATATATGTTCACAAGGAATGATAATATGCCTCATACATTGTGGATTTGGGACATTCAGAAGCTTGCAGTTTGTGCAGTTGTAATCCAGTCTGCTCCTATAAAACATGTAGAATGGGACCCAGTCAAGACTAGACTGGCTCTCTGCACTGGAGTGAACAAGCTGTACATGTGGTCCCCGGCTGGAAGTTTGTGTGTGGAGGTACCAGTAGAGGGAACATTCCAGGTGCATTCGTTAAAGTGGCACCCTCATGGTGGATCATTATTGTTACTAGGAAAGGACATGATGTGCATCTGCTATTTAAATGATGTTGAAAATGATGTCGCAGATTCAGAAGGGTGACATATCTGCTGTTTACGCAATGATGAAAATGACACATCCCCGATTCTGAAGAGTGATATATCTACTATTTGAATGATGTTGAAAGAGATGTAGCATATTCTGAAGGGTGACATTCTGTGATATTTATAAGATATTTAACATTCCATTTAGAGATGTTATTCCATATATACATGACTGATAATGACACATTACACCAGTGCTAGCTTTAGGTGTAAAATAGTGTCTTACATGTAGTTATAGACTTTAAAGTGTTTAGATTGCTTAGTTATTTCAGGTATTTAGAATATTAATATTTATAATAATGATGCCTCTTGTTTTCTTTGTAACATAACCATATTTCTGTATAAGTAATATTATATTCAATAGTATATTCCAAAAACATCCTATTCATAGCGTGGCAAATTTTTTAACAAGTTGAAAGATATAAAATATTATATCAGAGATGATCAAAGCTTTAGTCTGTGACATGATGAACATGTTTTATAGTTCTAATGGAAAAGAAAGGAAAGAAAGACACATGTAAACACTTGCTTACCTTTAAATTTATTTATAGATCTAAGGGATATATCTGTATACATTTATAAGCCATATATATAATATAAACAGGTAGTTGCAAAGTATAAATTTTTGAATTCTTGAAGAACAATTTGTGTCCTACACTATGAGATACATTTACTAGTATTACAGTATAGATGTACAGTATGTTTTAATGTATTTGTTTACATACATGTACTAGTTACTAAAATGCTATGTTTTTGCATTATTTTCATTTTTGAGATAAATGAATGTATTTGAATAGCTCAAGCTATGTTTAATGCTAATGTTAAATTATACAATGTATATAGATGTACTAACACTAACAATCTTTCTAATTAATCTTTCCAAACCAAATCCTCAGTATATTAATAATTTCACTGTACCATGTCTTGCAAGCCTATACAATTTATTGCCACTTGTGTACCCTGTCTTGTGATTACAAACACATGCTACTTCTGATCACTGTACCTTACTTGGGAGTTTATATATATTAACTTATACCGTTATTACCATAACAGGAAGTTAACATGTTTATATATATACTCGATAGCAGGAAGTAAACATGTTTATATAGTACAAGAATGTACTATAGAGATGGATACATATTTTTCACTTTATTTATATAGAATAAATGTACCGGGTATATAAAACCTACACTTTAAGGGAAGAAAATGGAAAAAGAAGTTTAGATGGAATATTTTACTCCGGCCTCAAACCAAATTAATAAAAATGCAATAAAAAGCAATTGATAATGATCATATTCCAAAATCAAAGCACAGAAGGCGCTGAATTTGTTTGGGTCTCAGAATGTCAGAAAGGTGAAGGTTGTGAGATTATAAACCAATTTGTTTTTGTATAGTGCCATCAATGCTTTCTAGTGTTTTAACTGTAGTAAAGTGGCTATAAGATTAATTGCAACACTGATATACAATTCAATGTTTATTTGACTTAAACAATTTGAAAAAAAAATGAGATGTCTTAACTGGGATTTGAACTCCAGACCTCTTGCTTCCTAAGCGAGCGTGCAAACCCCTCGGCCACGGTGAAGTTATATGTTAATGGCCTGAAGAAAAACATACTATTCTAAATTAGGGTTTGTAACCCTTATTATATCAACGCTAACTGTTGTTTAACACAGATGTAAATGATCATGGAGCTGACTGTAAACATGTATATCTATAAAGAATGAAACAATATTAGAAATCTTCGACCTTTCGGGAACTATTTTGCTTGAAAATTAAGGCGCCTGTCATTTGACAATCTTTACGCAGTGATCTCTCCTGAATTTTTTCAGCATAAGTGTACATATAAAGGGAAGTAACCGCTTCAAAAAAGCGGACTACTTTCGGCATTTGCAATTAACAGCATCAGGGTCTGAAATTTTGCTACCATTATTTGTTTGGTCTGACGACCCAAACAAATAGAAACTGGTATACCCATTTTGTATTAGGCAAATACATAGCACTGTGAGTGAGACAGATATACCTATATTGAAGGCAGCAAATGTTTAACCATATAATTCACTTGCCCTGATTTGAAATTTGAAAACAGTCCATCAGTATTTTAAGAAGTTTCAGTATTGAAATGCTAAAATTGATCTACTATAAGTAGTAAATATTTTCAGACTGTCTTGATATAATTTGAATTTACACAGATTACATAGACCAGACATTATTGCTGCTAGTATTTAACCTTTAACCTGCTGACTTCATTAAATGGATTTATCCACCTATATTTGGAACAGTCCATTATCAATTTTAGGGCTGTCAGTAAGAACATTTTTAAGTTTGTCAGGTAACAGTATAGAGTTTGGTCAGACTGCACAGCTCTATACTGACAGAAAAGGCTAGTTATCTCTGGTTCTAGCTGGATAAGGGTAGATCATTACATGCTATTTCTAAACTTGTTCAAAGAGTTACAATTAGTTACTTAAGTTAATTATTGCTGTTACTGTGATTAGCATGAGAGATTTGTGAAAACATTTGATTGTTTGATCTTGTAAAATTAGATAGATGCCATGTGATAGACAGTGTATGTATAAAAGAAAGATATAATAAAAATTAAAATGTTCATAGTAAGAATCTGTTTATAATTTTATCAGTCAATTGAAAATTAAATTATCATGTAAACAGTTTATATTGTCACACCAGTCTATAAAAACCATCCTGGGAAATGTTTAACTGACCAGAAAAATGATATATTTTATATATTTTTTGCAAGTTTATTAAAAGAGAATCTAAATGTTTGTATCTAATTAAAAGTTATCTATAACTGCTTTTTAGCTCGACTATTCGCAGAATAATCGAGCTAATGCAGTCACCCATTTGTCGGCGTCGGCGTCGGCGTCCCTGTGGTTAAGTTTTTGTATGTAAGCTGGTATCTCCATAACTACTGAAGGGAATGGATTGAAACTTCACACACTTGTTCTCTGTGATTATCTAAGATGATTGGCACAAGTCCCATAACTCTGATTTGCTTTTTTTCATAATTATGCCCCTTTTTCGACTTAGAAATTCTTGGTTAAGTTTTTGTATGTAAGCTGGTATCTCCATAACTACTGAAGGGAATGGATTGAAACTTCACACACTAGTTCTCTGTGATTATCTAAGATGATTGGCACAAGTCCCATAACTCTGATTTGCTTTTTTTTATAATTATGCCCCTTTTTCGACTTAGAAATTCTTGGTTAAGTTTTTGTATGTAAGCTGTTATCTCCATAACTACTGAAGGGAATTGATTGAAACTTCACACACTTGTTCTCTGTGATTATCTCAGATGATTGGCACAAGTCCCATAACTCTGATTTGCTTTTTTACATAATTATGCCCCTTTTTCGACTTAGAAATTCTTGGTTAAGTTTTTGCGTGTAAGCTGGTATCTCCATAACTACTGAAGGGAATGGATTGAAACTTCACACACTTGTTCTCTGTGATTAGCTAAGATAATTGCCACAAGTCCCATAACTCTGATTTGCTTTTTTACATAATTATGCCCCTTTTTCGACTTAGAAATTCTTGGTTAAGTTTTTGCATGTAAGCTGGTATCTCCATAACTACTGAAGGGAATGGATTGAAACTTCACACACTTGTTCTCTGTGATTATCTAAGATGATTGGCACAAGTCCCATAACTCTGATTTGCTTTTTAACATAATTATGCCCCTTTTTCGACTTAGAAATTCTTGGTTAAGTTTTTGCATGTAAGCTGGTATCTCCATAACTACTGAAGGGAATGGATTGAAACTTCACACACTTGGTCTCTGTGATTATTTAAGATGATTGGTACAAGTCCCATAACTCTGATTTGCTTTTTTTGCATAATTATGCCCCTTTTTCGACTCATGAATTCTTGGTAAAGTTTTTGCATGTAAGCTTGTCTCTCCATAACTACTGAAGGGAATGTATTGAAACTTGAAGAGTTTGTACCTTTTCGGACAATTTTATGTATTCATATAGGTAAGCATTATTATACTCAATGAAACACCCTTGTGACAAATTTTCGAATAGTCGAGCGTTACTGTCCTCCGACAGTTCTTGTTACTAAACGAATTTAATTATTGGTTAAATGTTTGTGTTTGGTGAAAGGTATCCTGTATTTAGTTCATTTTTAGGATTCCAAAAAGGAGCGATCAAAAAATAAAATATAGCTTAAAACATACACAGGTGACGAACATTCTATAGCCAGTGCTATTCTGCAACACTTAAAAACTCTAATGGACTAAAAAGGTACTACTGTATGGGATAGTGAGTGAATATTTCAAAATTTGGGCTTCACTGGTTCCCATATCCATTTTTGAGATTCGTTGTCAGTACAAGGTAGAGCTGTAAGAGTATCTTCACCTCGATCAGCTGTCAAACAAGTTTTACTTAATACATGCATAAGAGTATTGTTTTCATCGCTATAAATCCATTCTTTTTCCTGTTTGTTTTGAAAATGGTCACAATGTTTGTACATTGCTCTAGATTCGAATGCAATGTACAAACAGTATCCGAGATTCCGTATCTCGGACCTTTCTGTGAATTCAAACAATTGTGATATCCCTCTGCCATGGCATGGGTATTGCGTAGGGTCTCCGTGTTTTCCGTTTTTATCTAAACACATATCAGTATGTTTATTTTGTAGTGAGCCTATTTTCTTTGAATCTGTAGGCAGATGAAAGTCTGAAAATTCCCGAAGTTTATCTAGAAAATACTGAAATGATTTACACTGGTTATCCTCTCTTATCTTTTTCCTATGACTGATGTCGCCAATGTCGACCTCTTTTGGATTAACGTGACAATAGTCATATATTATCTTTTTATAAGGTTCATCTACCCAGGTTTCAACAAGCCGGAATTTATTCACAGTACCAACTTCACCGACGTACCACAGAACCTGCGATGTAAAAATATACACAACAGTTATTGTTATGTTTACATTGTATAATTATTATATTTTTCTTTCGCATAAACTGATTAATATGTTCTACTCTGCAAATAACTCAGTTTAATAGCAATGACATTCGACATATTAATAAAGGTAGATACAGTAAACATAAAAAAATGTTTTATCCAACGATAGCAATGCTTAATGTAACAGTAAAAGTACAAGATTCTCTTAGAAAGTAGACAAACCAACAAACTATGAAGCATTCAGGAACCATCTGTCAAAACGTTTTTCCAAAAAATAGTGTTAAATCGTATCTAGTTTTGAGTTTTAGTCGAGGGGCGCTCATCCTTTATCTGTACCGTAAATGTTTTCGATGTAGTTGTCTACTTTTATTAACTGTCTTAATCAAAGCGCTGAAAGCACTGCTGGGGGCGCATTATGTTGATTGTATAGTGGTCTATTGTTACAAGCAGATGCCATTCCTACTTTCAAAGCAGATGTCACATTTTTACTCGATTATTCGATAAGAATAAGTAGAATTATCCTAGTCATCTGAACATTGGCGTCTATCACCTCAATTTTTCCCGAAGTCCATTGACATATGGCATTGAAACTTTGCACACTTGATCCCGATCAGGCACCCATTTGTTAAAGATTGCCTATGGCTTCAAGATATTTTCGTATTCCATAGACATCTGGCTTTGAAATAAATTGAAATGTTATACATTTCTTTGCGAGCATACTAGCTAGGACTCTCTCCAATGCTTATATCTGTAGCATATTGGGTTTAAAGAAATTTTTGGTCCTTTTGTGAACTTAAAATATTTTAAATAACCAAGGTTCTTCTATTGTCAAGCACTAAGCATATAGTTGAGTGTGCTGTCCTACCAACAGCTATTGTTTGCATACCTTGTGAAATATAACTCCTTCAAACTTTTGTTCAGTTATTATTATACAAACACAAGAACTGTCTGAGGACAGTAAGGCTCGACTATTCGAAAAAGTTGTCACAAGGGTGTTTATTGAGTAAAAAATGCTTACCAATGAATACATAAAACTGACCGAAAAGGTACAAAGGCTTGGATTAAGATGTTTTATCAAGTAAATCACTGCTTTATTATCATGAATGCATAAAATTGTCCCAAAAAAGGCACAAACCCTTCAGTAGTTATGGAGATAACATGCTTACAAGCAAAACTTTACCATTAAATTCTAAGTTGAAAAAGGGGAGAAAAATAAGCCTAAATTCTCGATAAAATTATGGATCTTGGTCAGTAACCTACATGTACAATTATAACCCTAAATGCATGTGAAGTTTTAATATTGTAAGCAGAGTTATCCAACTTGTCAATCTGATGTACATTGTTACTATAAATAACTATTGTAAGTTTCAATTGAATATCTCAAGCAATAATTGAGATATTTGACTTTAAAAATAAACTTAAACCAACGCAGACGCGGACGCTGGGTTACTACAATAGCTCTCATATTTTTCAAATAGTCGAGCTAAAAACTACCAAGTCATGGTTGAGACCATATAGTTATTCCATATATAAATATATATGTATATATCATGGAAAAACATTTCAAGATGTTACAATGGATTGTAGTGTATAACAAGAAAATCAGTGTACTTTAACTTTAATCCAATAATCATACAAACATCTGTAAATAACTGGAACAAAATATTTCTTAAATAAAACCATACAAAACAAGAGGGCCATGATAGCCCTAGATCGCTCACCTGACTTATCAAACTCATCCAAACAATTACCTAGACAAACATTCTGACCAAGTCTCACGACAGGTGAGTCAAAAATGTGACCACTACAGTGTTAACAAGGGATTATCCATATTTGAGAAGTGCGACCCTTTTTTTACTCAGGTGACACATATTCAAACTTGACCTAAAAATCATCAAAACAAACTGTCAGACCAATTTCCAGGATACTTGGATCAAAACAGTAGCAACAAGAGTGTTAACAAGATTTTTCTATTTTTAGCTCCGGTGACCTAGTTTCACATGCGATTTCGAACTCATCCAAGCAATTACCTAGACAAGCATCCTGACCAAGTTTGATGATAATTGAGTCGAAAATGTAACCAGTAGAATGTTAACAAGGCTTTTCCATATTTGGGCGGCGTGACCTAGTTTTTTCATCCGAGATGACCCATGTTGGATCTTGACTTAGAAATCATCAAAACAAACTTTTAGACCAATTAACAGAATATTTGGATCACAACAGTAGCCACTAGAGTGTTAACAAGATTTTTCTATTTTTTATCTCCTGTGACCTAGTTTTTCATCCGAGATGTCCCATGTTCGATTTATTCCCAGCAATGACCTAGGCAAGTTTCCTGACCAAGTTTGCTAACAATTGAGTCAAAATTGAGACCACTAGAGTGTAGACAAGGTTTTTCTATTTTTAGCTCCTGTGACCTAGTTTTTCATCCGAGATGACCCATTTCCGAACTCATCCGAGCTATCACCTAGACAAGCATCTTAATCAAGTTTGATGATGATTGATGCAAAAATGTGACCACAAGAGTGTTAACAAGGTTTTTCTATTTCTACCCCAGGTGACCTACTTTTTCATCCAAGATGACCCATGTTCAAACTCATCCGAGCTATCAACTAGACAAACATCTTGACAAAGTTTGATGATGACTGATGCAAAAAAGGTGACTGCAAGAGTGTTAACAAGGTTTTTTCTATTTTTAGCTCCGGTGACCTACTTTTTCATCCGAGATGACCCATGTTTGTACTCACCAGAGCTATCACATAGACAAGCATCTTGACCAAGTTTGATGATGATTGATGCAAAAATGTGACCGCTAGATTGTTAACAATGTTTTTCTATTTTTTAGCTCCGGTGACCTACATTTTCATCTGAGATGACCCATGTTCAAACTCATCCAAGATATCAACTAGATAAGCATCCTGACCAAGTTTGATGATGATTGATGCAAAAATGTGACTGCTAGAGTGTTAACAAGGTTTTTCTATTTATAGCTCTGGTGACCTAGTTTTACATCCTAAATGACCCATGTTCGAACTCATCCGAGCTATCAACCAGATAAGCATCCTGACAAAGTGTGATGATGATCGGGTCAAAAATGTGACCACTAGAGTGTTCACAAGGTTTTTCTATTTTTAGCTCCTGTGACCTAGTTTTTCATCAGAGATGACCCATGTTCAAACTCATCCAAGCAATTGACTAGACAAGCATTCTGACCAAGTTTGATGATGATTGGTTTAAAAATGTGACCACTAGAGTGTTCACAAGGTGTTTTCTATTTATAGCTCCTGTGACCTACTTTTTTCATCAGAGATGACCCATGTTCGAACTCATCCGAGCTATCACCTAGGCAAAACATCCTGACCAAGTTTAATGATGATTGGGTCAAAAAATGTGACCTCTACAGTGTTCACAAGGTTTTTTTTTTTTTTAGCTCTTGTGACCTAGCCTTTCATCCGAGATGACTTATGTTCGAACTCATCCATGCTTTCAACTAGATAAGCATCCTGACCAAGTTTGATGATGATTGAGACAAGCAATTGTGGACGGACGACGGACATTCACCGATCCTTAAAGCTCACCCTGAGCAAGCTCAGGTGAGCTAAAACCAAAAACTGATGATGACAGAACGGGTATCACTTTATGCCTATAAAATTTTTTTTGCTCAAGTGATTTTTTTTTTCGAAGAGCTACAATGTGAAATTACATAAGTAAAATCTATTTCAAAGCTGCATGCATTCATATGAATATATTTTTAAAAAAAATCAATCTTGATTAAATAAAAAAAAAGTTCAAGGATAGCCCAAACTTGTTAATTATAAAAAAATATATATACAGAATATTATGTTGTAGTAGCTCTCTGAGGCTTTTTTATTTTGCTATGAGCAGCGGTGGGAAATTGATATCTTGCGAGACTAAAGGGCGAGCTAGATAACAATTTTCCAACATTGCAAGTAGAAAAATGCATAGCCTCAGAAAGCTACTACAACATAATTTTCCTTTAATAATATACCTTTTTCGTTTGAAGTATAATGATTTTCATTATACTACACTTATATAAGAAATTTCAGAAAAAGAAATGTAGCTGTCAAGAAATAAATTATGACTGACAGATGAATACCTAATTTGTGCAAAACCAGCCACACCTTTTATTATTTTGGTTGCCGTTTCCATATACTATATGTTTATACACAGCTAAGATCAGAACCAACATTAACAAGAACCGGTTGAACCGGGTGAAATGCTCCCCGAGAAGGTTCTGGACACTGAAAGTGTAAAAAAAATGAACAAAGGGCAAAAACCCCAAAATTAGGCAAAGCGGAGTTATGTTTTTTTTTGCACTGCACTTCTATTCAATTAGATCTATCCATCTATAAAGTTGCCTGATGATATCAGAGTTATGTCCAAGGTAAAATTCAAAGTGTAAAAATGAAATTACGGTAATAACTCCAAAATTAGACCAGGCTTTCTTTAGGTTCTTTAAGCATTGCAGTTCTATCCAATTATATCTAGCTACCTACAAAGTTTCATGTTGATATCTCTAATAGTTTTTTAAAGTTATGTCTCGTACAAAAGTCAAAAAGTAAAAATAAACAAAGGGCAATTACTTCAAAATAAGGCAAGGCAGAGTAATAATTCTTAAGCACTGCTTAGAGTAATGTCCCGGAAAAAGTTCAAAGTGTCAAAATGAATCAAAGGGCAATAACTCCAAAAGTAGGCAAGACAGTTTACAGTTTCTTGTGCACTGCAAACTTACTCAACGATTATCTATCTACCTACAAAGTTTCATGTTGAATATCTCTTTTACATTGAGAGTTATGTCTCAGACAAAGTTCAAAGTGTAAAAATAAACAAAAGGGGATAATTAAAAAAATTAGGCAAGGGAGATTTTTAAGGTTCTTGTGCACTGCTTACCAAAACTCAATGAAATCTATCTACCTACAAAGTTTTCATGTTGATTACCTCTTATAGCTTTTTAGAGACAAA